TGCGATATTTAGCGGCGTTGCGACATATAACGGCGCCACAGTCATTGCCATAATCACATCGAATTCAAGCAATATATCTGAACATGGTAACATGTTTTGACAACAATGACATAGTTATAATAGCTTGCATAAAAGTAAAATCAAATAATGAAAGAAAGTATCGCAATAATTTTAATCCAGTTATTAATTCAAGAATGTTTTTGATGATGTTCTCTTAGAATTAAATGTACTTATGCTTCTCTACACAGCATTCAACCAAACTTGACGTTTTTGGGAAACACTTTTATATACACAGAAACTGTATAAAAGTTTACTCAATTCAAATTTTAAAATTCTGTTTTAAATGAATTTAGACTCTCATTTTGATTTTCCCATAGACTGAAATTATGAGGAATGGTCCCAAATCCTACCTTTAAGTTGAATTTTCGTGCTAAAGAAGGGATATTTCTAGGAGAATGAAATCCCTGACAGATAAACATGAGATTGTTATATAGGGGTAGCCAACAATTTTTTTTTTGCTAAGTGACTTTAATGTGAATTACCTCCCTTTTCACTTAAATTCTCTGCTGATCACAGAACTGGCATACACTTTTTTCTAAATGCAAATATTAGTCACAAATTACCATAGAGACTGGTGAAATATTTCATTTTCTTTAGAAAGCATTAAAGTATTAGTTTCCAAATAAGTTTTCGTACTTAAAAATTCCATTTTCATCCAATCACCTAATGTCCAATTGAATCTTAAAGTTTTCCCTCCTTTTCTTCAGCCAATCGCATGCCATGTTAGAATACGATAGTTTGGCCTTAAGCTGGTGCAAGGGGGCGTGGACGGAAGCTTGCACTTTATGGACAGACTCAATCCATCTAAGCCTGCAAAATTTTCGATTTTGCCGTGTTATGCGTTCTTAAGAGATTCCATTCTTCATTTGCTAACATGAGGTTAGTAAGTCAGTCAGTAACCAAATTGTTGATTTTTGTGAATAGTCAATTACAAATAACTGCCATATATTAGTACAAGTATAGCCCAATGTGCCTATAAGTCACGTACCAATTTAATGATTTTATAATGCATCATATATTTATGGTATAAACATATATAAAGTGAGGTGGCTCTTATTAATGCAAAAACAATATTTACAAAAAGCTACACACGTTTAACATTCTATATGATTTTGATAAAGAGTTACGTTTTATTATTCTTATTATTTGTTTGAGACACAGTCATTTGTTCAATTAAGAATAAACTCGATTTCGTCTGCTCATATAGGTAGTAATAACATAATATTTATACATTTTACGTGTACATTTTGTCATTAAATGTTCGAGTTTGTGTTCGGTCATTAGGTTTACTAATGATTTGTCTGTTTATAAATTGTAAAATATAGCATTTCTTATACTAGAATATAAACTGCACTCTTATAAGAAGTGTGGCTTTGTTTCGATAGCTCCGGAATCACACATTCGACATACCGACCTGTCTAAATACGTTAAGGTAAATTGTCAGTCCTAATTGAGACAATAACGACCATTCATTTTTATAAGTTTAATAATGAATAATCCTGAAAGTTTTAAATTCAGTTTTAAGTAGTCTGTATGTTCTTATATCTCGGGACCAGGGTACCAGATCTGTGACTAATGACTATTAACAAGATCTTTTTGCTTGAGAGAGTTTAACCAGAGTGTAGAGGAACAACTTTAAACGGCTTGATATCAGCCTATGTCGCCAAGCATGTCAAGTACGATGTGAATCTATGAACGACCCTGAAACATCTCATTGCACGATTTTGAATATTATCTAACTGTTGGAAATGTGTCTTCCCCAAACAGACGCACAGTAGTCAAGTATTAGTTAAATACATGAGTAAATACTTCTTTTAAATGCCTTGAAAATATGTCAATAACTTCAGCTCGCCAGTGAAAAGTGTCCATCAGTCTTTTTCTCAATACATGGCGATGTTAAAATATAAATCTGGTATCAAGCCGTTACCGAATTAACAGAAGAAAACGATCGATAGTTCAGGTTAATGATCGATCAGTAACGAATGGAAATAATAATAATGATAATGATAATGATAATGATAATGATAATAATGATACATATATATAAAGAGCTTTTGAAAAATAAAAACATTTCTAGGGCTTACTTGGCACTTATGAAAGGACTTTTGCGCGTTAAAAACAATTATGGCTGCTTTCTTAAGAAACACCAAAATTATGTTTAAAGTACTGTAAATTAAAAGCTGTCATGATAAAACCAATGATTTCTTTCAAGTTTGTACATTATATATTACTTAAATGGCACTGAATGTTTATAGTATATAACGTATGACGCACATTTTTTGCCCATTTTCCGAAAACTACAGTACACACAAGATAAAAACAAGCTATTTCTAACTAGTTCTATTCTTTCCCGTTGTTTCAAAGAAAAATAATTTTATAAAATAAATCTTATAGATTTACTATTGCTAATATATAGAAATAATGAAGCTGTTTTGACATTTTTGTTTCGTAAAGTTATATTAAGATGGTAAGGAACGCGCACTGCTTTTTTAATTGAAACTTTACAGCTGTTTTTGTTTTGTTCCAACTTGTAATTTATATGAAATAGTTCGGTTTTATATGAAGTGTGCTTTTTTTCTAGAAAGCGGATTGATGTATTCATAGATAAATCTACATATATCTCATGCAGTACATGTAGTAGTATACTAAATAATCTCCCACCCCGGGAGTGTAAATTACGTAGTTACAGTTCGGATTCTATTTTTTTAAAGAATTAAAATAAATAAATAATACACCATGCAAACTGTTTAGACATAATTATTTATGGATATATACTGTTTATTGCAGTTTATCATTAAATTGGATAACTTTAACATTAGTGCTTTTCATCCAATTCAATTCAATTCAATTCAAATGGTTTATTTACGTCTCATCACATGTACAACACATAATATATCACAATAAAAATGAATAAAACTGGTAAAAGTACATATGCCATTCAATAAAGAATTATAAGAGACGTGTAAGCAAAGCTTCCATCTATAGGTAAATATAATAAAAGATCATATTTACATACTTTTATGATTACATACTATACACACTTATAATAAATGAATTGGGAATGCTGTGAATCTATCATTTTAAGTTTTCATATACCTACTATAATGTGTCTAAAAGTCTATATATAAAACAATTCACTAGTCTGATGTACAACAATTCTAATGAAATTTAAGAGAAATAAAATACTAAAATGTATAATAATAAATTAATTCAATCTGTAAGATTCACAACACTCTATCTTAAATACCTACTTAATAAGAGAAATAGTTACCTACAATAAAGTAAAAGACGTCTATGTTTTAAAATATTAAAGCATGCTTTGGCTGTAAACTTAGTCAAAAATGGATTAACAAAAACGTTATGCATTTTCTCCATATCAGATAAGTTGTCAAAATTATTAACAATTGTTCTCGCAGATTCAAATAGGTCTTCCCTGAATTGTAAATAGAGTGGACAGTGTAACATAACATGTATCTCATCTTCTACAGTATCAGTACAATTAAAACAAGTTCTTTCATGTATTGACAGATTTTCATACCTCCCCGTTTCCAATCTTATCGGTGCAACACCGCATCTAAATAATGCCATAGCTCTTCGATAATGAAAAGGCAAATGTTGTTTTACATAAGTTTCAGTTTCAAAAACATTCTTGAACATTCTATATGTTCTTAGCTTATTTCTACCATTTCCTGATATAGATGACACACGCTCTAATGATTGTTCCCATTTACTTACTTCTACATCAAATTTTTTTTCCTCAATTTTTGTTACAATTGCTTTAGTATTCACTTGATTTGTGTTAAAATAAATCTGGTCTTTAAAATTAATACTCTGTAACATTTCTGTAATTCGAAAAATACTATTCTTACACCTAATACTAGCTACTGATCTCGACCAATTAAAGACTTTTTTATTCAATCTTGCATCATGCATATTTAACATTCTACAGTGTTGTCGTATAACAGCGCCCCATTGCTGAACCATCAGTGGCTTCCAGCCCATCTCACCTAGGACTGCTGAACATGAACATCCATGGTAACTTTTAGTTAGTGTCGTCTTGTCTTGTTAATCAATTTTGTATTCTATTGACCGTTTCTGTTTTCTTTTATTTTTTTTTCGGTGTCATGACCACGGTAACCTTACGGTGTCCTATATTTTATACCATATGGGTTTTCCTCAAAGAAATCTCTAAATTTATGTAAAAATACAAAAAAAATATCATGATTTTTTCAGATGTGAAATAAAAAAGATGTAAGTATGAGTGAAATTTTCTTGTTCAGCCTATTTAATTTTTATTCTATTTTCAAAAAAATCTTTGGAACTAATTATTAATAGAATAAAGTATGACCGTAAGGGCATATTTGCTCCAAATAAACGATATTTTAGACATTTTTATTGGGTACAAAAATTAGCATATTCTGTTTCTTTCATATACTTAAAGCACATGTCTAGAGTCCCTATATAGCGTTTGGCATTAAAAGAAAACAAATAAAATCAATTGAAATATGTTTTTTATTCTGAAAAAGTTATTTTATAAAAATTATGTGCTGAGCATGTATACATGTTAATAGTGATCGCCAGTCTTGACGTCACAGAAACGTCGTACGACAGCCCCAACCCTGTCGTAGAGCTGCGACATTTTCTACGATTTTCTTCGACGTCGTACGCTATGACAAACGTTAATAAAACGGTCCTTACCGGTCTGCGACATGTCTGCGACAAAAAGTAGCCTACGACGTGTCGAAGCGCAGGACATATACATGTACCGACATACAACGTATTGAGATTAACGTTTACACATTATCCAAAACTTTTGACCTCTTACTTATTGTAAAATGATAAAAGGGGTATGAGCGCAAACAGTATATCTGGCATTAATAAAGATTAAAAATAGGATAGATTCAATTAAATAAATTATAAAACCCAAAAATAATACCACACTGTAAACACTTTCTAAAAATATTGACAAAGTTTTAAGAAGTCCCATCGACAAAAGGAAAAATATAAAGTAGTGGTAGCAAAAAAAATGTACATTCAACCAACAAATATTGATAAGTGATAAAGACGGATTATCATAACGTGTGCCTATGCGCCAGATGTTGAAATAAGCTCTACATGTTTCGTGAAGTCGACACCATGCTTTCAAAATTGAAACGTCCAGTGTTATTTTTGTTAATTGCGTTAATAAGTGTTCAGATATTTCAAATTTTATATCGAGAATATGTTTTAGAAATATCGCAAAATCTCACTGATGATCAAGATGGTATTTCAAAAGATACAGGTAATGAGAAGCTTAAAAACGGTGTGAATAAAATTCTGGAAAATAATAAACAATACGAAAAAGGAATAAATAAGGGTAGGAATAAAAACAAAAAAGCATTGACGACTTCTGAAATCAGTACTACTACAGAAATAATAACAACTACGACGACCAAAGCTCCAGCAGAAGAAGTTCGTGTGAAAGCGGTTACTAACGATGTTCAGGCAAAACTCGCAGAAAAGATTCGAGGCTGGAGTCTTTCAGGAAGGAGAGAAAATGTTGATAGAAATAACACTGTATACCATGGTCGTGATTTACTGAAAGATGTAAGCGGTGATTTTTTAAGTATACTTTTATAGGAAATATGTGATTCTTCAATAATGTTGTATTGTTTGTATTGTTGATATAATTCAACGATGTATTTCTATCATTTTATGTCACTTTGCTACGAAATAATGAAAACTTTGATAATTACATTATGTTTAATTTTATTTTAATGCATGTATTCTGTGACAATGTGTATACACGTCTTATAAGATTGAACTGTCTATCTACCTATTATTCATGTCAATAAAAGCATCGCGTAGAAACTGATGAAAAAATATGATTGTAATTTAAAATGACTGTTGACAAAGTAACTAGCACAAAAAAAAATTGTCTGCAAAGTATTTTAAGTTAAGTGATAACTTGTTTGTTTTTCAGTTATATATTTAGAAAAAAAAAGTTATATTTGCAAGTAATTCAACCTTTGTCACGTACGTTGATAATAGTATAATAACTATCTTTGTTCATTAGTATATCAGTTAAATTAGATGGTTGAATAAAACGGTCTCGCTACGGTTCTGTGTCAAATGCAGATTAACAATGTTATATAAATATTTAACCATTTTTATGGCATTTTCTAATACGATACTTACTTTCTTATTGATAGTGACCTCAGTAAAAGTAGACAATGGTGTCGTTTTGTAGCGAATTTTAATTAGTGTTTCACACATTTCTGAAATTTTATGTACAATGTTCTATATTTGTATGTTCTTTATGATAATCAATTTGACCATTGAAATTTTATGCATCCGAGTGGCAACACTTCTAACATTTACACTGTGATAGATCTATATAAAATTTCTCCATTCTTAAAGTATAAAGGTTTAAGATTAATGAAATTCAGTAACATTGTGACTTTCTTATAGCGTTCAAAGTTTGTTGTTTAGAACTTCTTACAAACTAGCCTGTACTTTCATCTCATTGGAGATTTAATTGAAAAATATTTATAATCAAAGAACAGAACAGAACTTCTATTTCTGATTTGTACATAGTACATCATCATATACATAAAACCACACTTTGACTCAAACATGGGGCAGCTCATCGTCAGATACCCACGATTGATAAACATGTCACATAACATGCAATCAATGTTAAATGTTAATGGTTCGGCCGTGGGTATCCGACGATGGGGGCAGCTAAACAAATCTTGTTATAGTTATACCGAAGAAGCATTACAAAATTTCTATACAATTTACTTTTACTTCATACTGAAATATTTTATTATGTAATGTTGATTGCATTTGATTTTACATTACAAAAAATAACAAATTACATGTATATAATGCTTCAAATGCTTTAAGACCTATACAAAAGAACATTTTAATTCAAACATTTACTAACCTGGAATGAACAAATATCACGTGACCAACTTGTGCAGCGTATACCTATTTCTAGTGTTTCATTAGGCCATATACTCATTAATTATCAAACATTAAATGGAAGTTAGGAACAAACCACGTGTCATACAAACCATATTTCACTAGACACATTCTAGTATACAACTTGTATCTTTAATCTTGACTACGAACTATTTTTTTCAGCCAGTATTTAAGTTCAATCCTCACTTCAAGAACCCATGCTGGTTTGAAGGAGATGAACTTCGCTGTCTCCCCTACTTGTATGTGATTGGTGTCAAGAAATGTGGAACTAGCGATCTTTTCTACAGGATTGGCCTTCATCCAGATTTCGTCAAGCCTGGCTTTAAAGAAGCTCAATTCTTTGCTAGAAAACGATTTAGTAAGTCAGATTTGAAACTTTCTTGAGCTGTTCTTAATTTAAACGAGTACAGTAGTGAATTTCTAGACTTAAAAATTGTCTAGAAATGTTCAAGAGGTTCTCTGTTTGAGAGTGCAGCCTCATCTAAATGTTTCGTTATTGCCTTCCTTGGCTATAATGGCATAATTCTGTAGTTGTAAAACACTTGATTAAATACCACGTTAATTATCTGGCTAACTTGTTATTTATCGTCTTAGTAAGATAAAAAGTATGTATTTATCTAATTAACAAGGTAAGTTTTTTTTGTTTAATATTTAAATGACCAAAAAGTCTAACTTCCAGAAAAAGACACTTCCTTCTTAGATTAAAAGAAGATTAAAGTTATTTGTTTATCTGAAATGAAAAGAAAAATAGTTTTTCAGATAAAAATAATATTTCAGTATATACATAGTCATGCACAACTGAGTGTGAAAACTTGCCGGGGCCTTGAATTGGTGCCATAAGTAACTCAATACAGGTGAAAACAGTATTCTGGATATATAAGAAGCATTCAACTTATTGAACACACCTAGTTTGTACCTTGAAAAAAAAAACAATAAATGTAGAATACTATTAAACGATAAACTAGTGATTGTTGAAATACACATGACATGAAAATAATAATTATAATAATAATTAAAAACCCGACGAAATGAATGTGCACGATTTACATGTTAAGCTATCATGAAATATGCAATTTTATGATCTATCTATAAGCTGGGATTAAACAACATTCCTATATGATCAAATCACAATTTCGGTTCTATATAATCCAGACAACTTGTCTTGACAGGGTGACAACAACAAAAAATATTTGATTTGTGAAATAAATAAGCTTCAACACAGATAAATTCAATTCTCAAGCAGTTATATTTTTTTTATATTTAGGAATAGATATACAGGCTATAAAATGCAGTTAGCACATTTTGTATCATTAGCAAGTTGAATACAATTGCAATCGTAGTGGTATCCTGAACATCTAGAACAACGATAAATTCGCCATATACTACAGAAAGTGTTATTTAATTCATGCTACAATAGAAATACGTACGTGTCAAATGATCAGCCCTGCTGTAGAAGCTTAAGACGCTGTTCTATGGTTTAATCAGACAAGCTGTCGTTACTTTATTTGCATTGTGTTGCGTTTCAAGCCGGGGAAATAAATAATTTTTGTTATAAATTTATAATTATCGAGCACTGTATTATCTTCGGTAACAGCAGAAACATCTTTTTTCAGTTGTATTTCTTAGCACGCATTTGTGAAAAGGCAAATCACGTTTTTTTTTCAAGATATGTTAGCTTAGTTTTTTTTGAAATTGTAGGACTTTTCTGTAATTTGAGAATGCAGGTTTATTTGCCCTGTAAATCTATAAATCCCAATTTGGAGTCTGGTAAATACTATGCTCAAATTCTATATTCTTAAATATTGATAATAGCTACACAATCTCTTTGTAAATATATAGAATAAGCATGTTCTGACTACACACAAAGTAAATATCTTATGTTTTAAACTCTACAGAAAGGACCAATTTTACTTGACTTGTAATAGGATATATTCACCTTCTTACAAACAGTTTGTATATTCTTTATTGAAATTAGACATATTCAGAAAAAATGACAAAAATTGTAATTAATTTCTGGGATAAAAATATTATCTGGGATAAAAATGCTAAGATGAGCATAGTATATCTTTATATCCTCACTTGTTCTAAATAGTTTGGTGTTTTTTCCTAATGCATTTCAATTCTTATTATAATATATAAAATGAAGAAAACGTTTATCAATTCAGAGAGTTACCTGAAATAGCAATGCTTTAAGAAAGGATTTTTTTTTAATTAATTTACTATTTCGCGTGTAAAACATCGTTCCTATCATTTCTATTGACATATACATGAATTAAACCGTTTGACACACGCGTGATTGTCAAAAAACAAAACACACTTGTTCATACTGACATAAAAACATGTTTTTTATACATGCCAACATTTAGATCAGTGTCTGTCTGTCTGTATCTTTATTGTCGTGTAGCCTGACCAATCTCAAAACTGTCAGCTGCTCAGTTTATAAACATTTCCCCTTGTCGATAACCCGCATGTTGAAAAAGGTATTAGAAAAACTCCGATGCACATCGCAGTTTTTATTTAAAGGGCCATTATGCTCCAGAAATGCTTTTATTTTTATTTCTCAGCAGCTTTTGCTTTTTTTTGTGTACTTTTAAAGTATCTTACTTATTGACCATCTTTCTCATTGGCGATAAGTGCAGTTATAGTGAATTTGTATTTTGTATGAAAGTAAAAAAAACAAACTTGTTTTCATTCTGATACTTTCGTGACAAATTATTTCACATTTATCGATACTTTCCTCGCATACAACATTTTCTAAAACCATTATTGAAACATTATAAATTCAAAAATTCAAGTTTGCCCTTTCTAAAGAAAAACATGTGTTTGTTTCTGAGGCATAAAATGAGCCGCGTCACGACAAAACCAACGTAACGTGTTTGCGACCAGCATGGATCCAGACCAGTCTGCGCATCCGCGCAGTCTGATCAGGATTCATACTGCTCGCTTACAAACCCTTTTACAAGTAGACAAACTGAAAGCGAACAGCATGGATCATGATCAGACTGCACGGATACGCAGGCTGGTCTGGATCCATGCTGGTCGCAAACGCACTATGTTGGTTTTGTTGTGACGAGACTCATTTGTCCAGATTGTTACCTAACCTTTTGGAATAAGGAAAATTAATGATCTGCCGAATCCTAAACAGTTTTACAAGTGCATGTCATATGTTTTTATGAACGATTAAGATGTTTATCTATAATGTAAACGGTTAAGGTGGCTTATCTTTCACAATAATACTGATAATAATTATTATAACAATAATAATAATGATAATAAAATTCAAGATTATTCAAGCAAGAAAATCTTCAGAATAACATTAAGATTAGGACCCTACAAAAGTAAACATGTATTGAAAAACAAGTCATTATGGTTGTCTACATTCGATTAGTTGTTCATACAAGTTATTAGGTTGAAGACATTGTTTTGTTTTTTGTTGATATTTTAACGTGTATTTTTTTCTTGTTTTTGTTTTGTTTTTTGTTTTCATTTTATTTTTGTTATGTATTTTATGTATATGTTGTTTACGTTCTTTTCCATTTTAACGCATGTCACAAGGTGCTTATTAATTATGAGCAAGTTGAAATATCATTAATAAAAATTAAAAAAATCGTGTCATGTCACTTGTTAAGACAGACCAATCAGTTTTTAGTACGTTTATTTTTGGCGTCCGCGCCGAAGCGCGGCGCCCCTTTATGGAATGAAATCAGATTTTGTGAAAGGGCGACAGCAACTTCTCGAGCCTTTTAGTCAGTCATAATAAAAGCCGATTATTCCGATCGGTATGAAATAAATTAAAAATGAAATGTCGCGATATGTACAATGAATAGCGAACTGGAGGATTTCGCAATGCAAACATTTTCAAATGCGTCTCTTCGGGTTTTTTTTATTTATCATTTAGTAGTACACAGTGGGTTATCATGGTATGTTAAAATAGAATGATGAGTTGATGACCTAAATATTCCGAAAATCTATTTAAAGAGGGATGTGCTCCTATCGGTAATTCCGGTCTCTCCCGGTCTATTTTGACCGGGATACTAGTGACCGGCGAATAGTATCACACGTTTATTGTCCGGTCTCTCCCGGTTTTGGAGTAGATGTTTGATATCGTTACAGAACAGAACAAATATTTTACAGATAAATAAGCTTTTTTCCAAAATGAATGTTTGTCACTTAGTTTGGTTACAATAATTAATAAACATAGATCAAATCTCAAATTTATTGATTATTATTATACATAAACATACAATTCGGAAAAAAAACCAACAACAACAACAACAACAATAGCATGTTTCATTTTATCTATATGAGATAAAAAACAATAAAAATATGTACAACAATTGTGAAAAAAGGTACATTTTTATGGTTTTAATATGACACTATCAACTTTGAAACATTTTATTTAATTTGTCATTAGTGTTTAGTAAAGATGCCGATGATTTATTCAAAGTTACAAATTAGATTTTATTAATTATTTAATTGATTGATAATTTTAAAAAATGATAAAAAAAATACAAATGTACATGTACATGGTTTAAGAATAAACAATATTATAACTATATTGAAAGATTAACCATAATTTACTGACTTTTTCCAGTTAAGTTTTGACTTATAATCGTCGGTCAATATGACAATTGAAAGAGTAGTAAACGTAAAAAACTCAGTATTAAAATAGCACATAAAAACACAAAAAAGAGAGGAAAACAATATTCATAAAATCTGTATTTTTGTTATTAAAATAGATATTACAGTTATTGTATAATAAACAATAATGCTCAACATGACATGGTAATATAACCAGTGTCATATTTTTACTAAGTGTGAACAGATACCTTAAGAGGGGGTCTTCGCTAATAGCGATTACATAATAAGGGACAATTCCACAAGTGTGGTGTTGATCATGCGTTACACGTATGGATTATAAATGATTGTATACGAGTACATGTATATCCGTTGCTATAAATAATCACGATCATAGAGAAATAACAAGTAATATTCTAATCTCTAGCATGCCAATCAAAGTTCATAATGAACAATGTCATCCGTCTGTTCATTTTGGTAAAAACCAATTAACCATTGAAAAGTTTATAAGAATATCTTGTCATCATATGTCTACTAGTTCATCTTCACTTTCTGCATTTCTTGCTTGGACGCCCTTTGATGCTTTGCATCAATGCTTTTCTTGTAAATTGTATGTATACAAGTCAATCCATGATTTGTGTATGTTACTTATTCATTCGTAATTATTGTATAGGTATATACTTAATGCTTGATGATGATAAGCTGTACATAATGCTTTAATCTAAAATAAATTTTCTGTTATGTTAAAAATATCCGACCTTCTCGTTAAACAAACATCGATCTGCATAAACTCCACTTGTTCTTCAATAAGAGCAAAGAGTGTTCAATAAAAACAACAATTTATGTTTCAGGACCAGGAGGTTTGTTTGATAATATAAATGAATACGCTGAAATGTTCCACTATGCTGCAGAAACTATTTTAGATAATGCTAATAAATCATCTGACGGGCAGTTAGCAAACTATCGTCATGTTACAGGTAAATAAGGGTTTTGATACACCTTGACAGGACCAGAACCTATATTACCCTATTAAAGACAATAGGATGATGTATTTATTAGAGTTACTTTATTAAGGAAAATATAGAAAAATATATATTTTACACAACCACTATTATATTGTTCAGATTCAAATGCTACGTCTAAAATATGTTTTCATGACAGGATCACTATTAAAAAAAAATTATACCTCATTTGCATATAATATGTCGTCATCCGGTCCATTAACCGCATACAGGCCGGGGCGGTCCATAATTCTTAAATGGACCGGATGACGTCATATTAAATATAGAAGGGCGCATGCAAATTAGGTATAAAATGTTATTAAATTTATTGTTTTGCTTCAAATAAATGTATTACATGTTGATCAAAAGTCATGATTTGTCTTGATTTTAAATTTTATTTATACCGTTTGTGAAAACCTGAAAGATCGGGGGTTTTTTTTGCCTGTTTAATTTGATTAACAAAACTTGAGTGACAAAAGAAGAGCTTGATTTTCTTCAACTAGGGTTTGAGATATTTCACACACTGAACAAATAACTTATTATTTGGAAGAAAATTATAGTAATATAGTAAAAAAAACAACAGCAACAAAAGGGATGAAAGAAGTTAGATTCGGGCCATATACCTTCCTCAGTCTGCCCAACCAGTCCGTAAACTTGCATATTGCCCTCAAGGCCATGTTTTATTTGTTATGGATTAATAAGTGTTACCTTATTTACGGAAGTACAGCAAAATATGCTTTTAATACAACCACCATTATATTGTTAACATTAAAATACTACGTCTGACATATATTTTACTTCTATTTTTCATATTTACATGAGCAAAAAAACTTAATTCTTATTGCTATAAGTACTGGTTGGTTTCAGGAACGCATTTGAAATAGTTAATAGGTTCATTCACAATCGAAAGTAAATATAAATTATGTATAAACTAATAAGAGCAAATAACTTTCATTTTAAGGTGAAGGAAGTCCGTCGAACCTTCATCTGAATACTCATTGGAAATTTCTCCCTGGAAACGAAAATCTGGATCAACCAAAATATGTGATTTTAGACTATATTCACCATTTCATACCACAAGCGAAAATGATTATAACATTCCGCGATCCCGTGGAGAGGTAAGTTCGAGTATCATTATTTGAATATACAATTTATTCTTCTTTTTTCTACATAACCATGGTTTTATGTATCTTTTTTTCTAAGTGTCATTGTTGATCGAATTGAAAAATGTGTATTTTCCGATATGTCATTTTGATTTAAAATGTGTATTTTTAAAGAATTCGATTGCATACTTACATTGTCTTAAATATTGTGTTAATTGTTATACCATTTCTTGAAAAAAATGTTATGATAACATTATAAAGTTCTACCTTAATTTAGAAGTGCTAAAATTTGAAATAGTATTTGTACTAAATGTTTATTCAGTCAGTATTATTTGTTGTTCCAATATCAGAACGTTTACACATTAGTACTCACAGCAGCTATAAGCGATTTAAAGTGTTGTTTTCTTTGTGTCGGATTCTCATGGTTATTTTAACATAGCAACATTGCTCAAACTGGAACAATAACTTAAAGGCATTGTAAATTACATTTCATAAATTGCCTTAATCAACCCAAATTTATACTAATCTTTTTTTTTCAATTTGGTTTCATTATTTTCGTTTATTTTTTTAATATTTTCACACAGATTATATTCGGATTATTACCACGAATACGGGTCTCTGATGAAGACCAATAAACCAAATCCTCGTCAGTTCCACAGAGTTGTCACAGAGGGTGTCAAACTTTATAAAGACTGCTTCAAACGACGCTCCGTCCGAAGTTGTGTTTACGAACCATCTCTTTATGAACAAACTAAGGTAAGGTTCAAAAATGTATTGTAAAAATTAAAAGGACTTCTTTTGACATTGACAAAATGATTTAATTCTGTGTAAAAATGTAAAATCCCGTGTTAAATCAAGATTCAGATCTGGTTTAATGTCAATATTGCAAATACTCACCCTAACCTATATAAATTATAGGTAAATACCGAAGGTATATGCTACCGTTGTTCATAGAGACATAATGAAAACTGTACAATACAATATATTAAAATTATCTATATCTTTAAGGCCTCAACAGACGGTAGGATTTAAGTGTACGACACTAATTAGAGATAAAATGTACAATTTTCAAATCAATACTACACTTGCATTCAGACGGTAATATCATCTGAGGTTTCCCTAAAAAGGGTCCATCCCAATTGATTCTTTACATACTTTACTCACTAAATACTTTTTTCACCATGAGTAATTATTGAAACACCTCCATTTTAAAAAAAATATATATATTTTTTTTAATGTGACGCCTGACCGAGACTCAAACCTGGGACCCTCGGAATACCGTACTGCGGCTCTATTGACTAAGCTATCCGGCCGCCTACAAACTACCTCCCCTCCCCTTATTAGAGAACAGTTCAATGCCGTGACATAATCATTTTCGGAATAATTTGGGATTCGAACCGAAAACAACTTTGGGTCTCCTGAAAAATCTTCAACATCATTTTCATCCCATCTTACTACTACTATAATATAAAATAATAATAATAATAATAATAATAATAATAATAATAATAATAATAATAATAATAATAATAATAATAATAATAATAATAAAGACTTTATTTAACGAGAGAACTCATTTGAACAAACATATCAATCTTCCATGAGGCCCTCAACAAGGAACAATATAAATTAAACATATTCAATCATTTAAAATACATAAATGTAAAAACATACAGGAGATTATCAATTTGTATACAAAACCTCAAGTATAAGGTTTTAAAATGGTTAACTACGGAAGCGTATCAGGGCCTACAGTTGGTGAGATGTTTTGCGCTAAGTCGACTTATTTTTATTCGCATTGATAAGATGTTTTTGCAATTCGCAATAAAATTTACTGACAAAGATGAGAAGCTTTTAGGCATTGCAACTGAATTTTTCTCGATATGTTTGAAGCTTTTGTCTCTTCGACAAAAATCAGGTCGTAACTTCTTGATTTCACGACTTTGCTGAAATATTTAGTAAGACGCAAAGACGTTACTCGCATTGACAAATAGCTCACGAAACTCAACAACGTTTTTTTGCAATGATTAAAAACTTCTACGTATTACGTATTAATCATAACTTCTTCATGGAATGTTTTATGTATTACGTATTAATCATAACGTCTTAATGGAATGTTTTTGGTCAAAACGAGAAGAAACAAGTTAACATGACGTGAAACTTTTAGATAAGTGGAGTCCCTGATAAGCTTCCGTAGTTAACAGATGTAGCAGACTTAGTCTTGCAGCTCTCTTTTGGAACTTAATGAGTTGATCCTCTAGAAAGGACGTGCAGTTACCGTAAATTATGCAACAATAATCAAGATGTGGTAAAATATATGCATTTTAAAACATTTTACGTACAGGTATAGATATGAATAATTTTATACGTGATAATAAATGTTACAATGAGTTACACTTTTTAAGAACATTATCAATATAGCTTTGCCAAGACAAGGTGTTATTAATTGTAATACCCAATAATTTTTCTTCAGAGCAGAAAAAAGTTTGCTCTGTTTTATATAAAATACAAGGATTACTTTCATGAATATAATTTTGCTTGTGTTTTGAGGAAATATACATGACCTTAGTTTTGTTAACATTGATAGACATGCGATTCAAATCCCACCATTTGTTGGCATTTAAAAGATCATGAGTAAGAGATTCAACTACTCTCTTTAGGGATACATCAGAGGTTGAAAAGGTGGTGTCGTCAGCAAAAATATCAGTTTCTGTTTTTTTTCCATAGACAAAGGCAGGTCATTGATATTACTACTATATGTTTACTAAAGTCTTGTTCTGGAATTTCATTCATTACACCCATTATCAGGAGATAATTTGGTAATCTGTTATTTGTCATTGTGGGAGGTCTGTAGAAATCTGTACGACAAGATTTTCAAAATAGAACATGTTCTATTCCTTACATCTAGACTTAAGGTTTCTGAATTCAAGAAATAGTAGCCTTCACACATTAAGATTTGTCTGTACATCTTAATTTTTATTGGTGTTGTACTTCAAAATCCTACCGTCTGTTGAGGCCTAGAATATAATAACAGAAATAGTTCAATGAAAAAATGACTTGCGGTTTGGCTACAGCAATCTCGTTTTCGAGTTGATAAATGTGTTTTTATGAGTTCTATATCATGATTTAATTTATCGAAGTGTTTTTTTTTTTTCAAATAAGATAAATGTAAGTCGCATTATACAGCAATGAAGATAAATTCGGGCTCAGATAATTCTGATCATAATGATTTCTTTGTGAATGCAAGACGATTCCCTAATGCTTAAAGTGATATTATGCTAATTTTTGCTGTCAAATTGAGTGAAATTAGTAATATACGTGTATCTCAAAAGTTTGGCTATTATACTGGTGATCCACCAATAATTGAAAGAAAAGTGTTAATGATACAATGTAAAAACTATCTATATGATAAAAAAGAATGATCCTTTAAGACTTTTTAAGTATTGAGCATTTCAATTACTTTCTGAAAGATATTTACAGAATTTTTTGTTGGTCATGTAAATAATCTTTGTTTATAGTAAAATATGAAATTAAACACAATTATGGCAATATATGTCAAATATATATATATTTTTTTTATCTGATCACCGACCATCTAGTACATTTTGATGGGCATAATGTCAGTGTTGAAATAGTGCTGAACTAGAGGCTATGTTACAACGAGATTTTTTTTGTTTAAGTAATTATGATAAATAACTCATGATGATCTTGCAAATCGGGACTGCATTATTTCAGTAACTAGTTTTTTTTTGCACACGTTCAGAATAAATTATAATGCTTATAAAATATACTTCTAATGAACATCGGCAAGGTATTTCATACACTTTTGAACATTTTTCATTTTAAATGTCCGAGTACTGAATATTCTGATTTTATTCTTACCACTTAATATAAATATCTTTTTTTTAAATGGAAAATAATAGTTCAAATGTTAATTTTGTTTCAATGTTGGGTACTCGAATATGGCTGTGTATCTATTTCGGCATTAAAATGACTTTATCTAAATAACGTAAATGTTATAAACAAATGGATTATCGTCCTTTTATAAACATTTAACATTGCCTTTAACTGAAATTATATCTTATTTTGAAACTTTATATTAAAGCTCACAGGTAGTTTGAATTAACGCAATACATGTACATATATTTTGATATACGGGTGACTTTTCGTATATGGGATAGGAAACCCATCTGCTGGTTAATGGTGATATGACAGAAAAAATATCTAATAATATGGCTAGAAGTACGAGGTGAGGAAAGTTGTATGCGTTATTTTTGTAAATTACAATGTATATTAAATTTACCTTGTCGTTTTTTACAGATTCAAATACAGCTTGGGATATACTATATATTCTGGATGGACCTTACAAGATTATTTCCTAGAAATCAAATTCTTGTTCTTCAAAATAAAAATCTACGTGATAAAGAGACCACAATGAGAAAAGTTTATCGATTTCTTGAATTACGTAAGATTTATACCATTGCTGTAACTTTGAAACATGTTAAACCCGGTGCTAGGGGGCGTAAAGATGTTAAGTTTTCATTATTTTTAAATGAATGAAATGGAAATATTAAAGATTGGGCCACTAGACAAACTCTAAATGTAGTAGGTCCGCTTTGATTCAACCTGTCTATGATCGGAACTATCTTTAACGCCTCCCATGCTCCGCCTTTAGCAGGCATATATTCGAATACAAAACGGTGTCTATATTTTAACCGTATAAATTTTCCAGTTGCTTGCACGGTTCTATAATTTTAATTCCCTTCTTTAGCACAAGTTTTGTATAACCTGCTTTGAATACCATTTATATATTTTTTGTTTAAGTCTCCATTGGTGAAAGTGGCAATTAAATATATATTCGCATCGACGAAAGTTTTCATATTGACTATTCTTAATCAGAAATCCCATATAACCACATGCAATAGTAGCTATTCCTTGCTTAATACACATATTTTGCGTTTTCATATTTTTGTTCCTTGGCATTTTATTATTTTATTTTTTTTCTATGTTTTGTGTGTATTCAGTTTTATTTTTCTCACTAATTTGATTTAGGGCCTCTCCCTAAAACTGAGATGGAAACAGTCGTTACTGCAGAAGAACGATACCAACGATCTAGCAGAAATTCGGGGAAGGGTCCAATGTTGAATGAAACACTTGAGTTTTTACAGGAGTTTTATAGGCCATTCAATCGTAAAATGGCGAGATTGACGAATGATGACACATTTTTGTATGAAGGAGAATGATGTAGGAAAATTTGATATCAATTGGCAATATTTGTATAATGGTGGAGGGTACTTGCAGTAATGAAACAAAAAACCAACAAATTCAGTTAATATATATTGACACCCCTCATTGAATTAGTAGAGCACAGTGTGTATACAATTAATATAGCCTATCTATCTTTTTTTGTAAATTTCTAACAAAACTTAGAATTATTGAAATCAGGAATCGTGTAACTTGCAAAATAAAGATCACCCTAACCGTCCTGATTGTGAGCATAAGTCGGCTTTTGGAAAAGTCTTTAGCGCATGGTGAAAAATGGTAATACTATGACTAAGTTTATGTAACTTCCAAAGATGATTATGAAATACCTTTAACTTTAACATCACTTTCAAATAGCATTCTGAGGCAAGAGTTTTTATAAACATACAAACAATCTGTCCACAAAAGCATATTCTTGTAACTGCACCTGCACATTATTAAAATTGTTTCAGTTTCATATGAATTGTATTTCAGTTTGAAAGTATCAAAGTGAATAACAAGTCATTAAGCTTCAAAAATATTATATGATTTACTAAGACTTATATTTTAACGGTAATTATGATATACATACCAATGCATTTTTCTCGGTTTAAATGTCATCGCTATAACTTTTAAGTATTACTCATCGGTATTTTTATATATAAACATTGTAGAAAATTTTATAATCAGGGTACTAATGTATCTTTATACAATAAAATATAATCTTTTGACAATAACGAGTATCAATAATTTCTACGTGATAAATATTTAATAAACATAATTAAATAGCATAAAGTACATGTATATGTTTTAAGGACTAATAAATATAAATCAAACTAAAAATGGTAACAATAAGAAAATTCTCAATATTTATCATTTTTAGTTCCTTAAAACACAGACTAACGCTCTCCCGGTTTTCAAATCGCCACCCGGGTCTGTAAATACAATGCAGACCTATTCCTCGTACGGTAACTATTACATACATCTCTTGACAAAATATTTAAACTGATGGGTAACAATGTAATTTCTTTTTCAATAAAGAAAATCTTCTTGACAAATAACTCTTAAGTTAAATCTTAATGAAATTATTTTCTTTACGTGACTTAAGAATAGGTTTAAGTAAACAGTAATTGAATTGAGGGTAATAAGAAAAAGAGTTTATCTGCTTAAAAGATTTCTCTGTAATTTGAGGATATGGCATCCGATTTAAGTTCTTTAATATTGTGTCGGTCTTTCCCATTAAAATAATGAATGGTTTTGTCCTTATTGAAAGAGGGATCGTTTTTATAAAGCATGGTAAGAATTAAAAGTGTTAAAGGTTTATTGGTATATACCAATATTATTTATTGGTTATGCATATGTTAGTAACTCGTTTGAAAATTTTCTTTTAAAATTATTACAGCTTGTCTTTAAATTCAAGTCTGTTTAAAGTTTAAGAATAACAAGTTATGCATAAAATGTCAAAAATAGAATTATATTTTTTTCTTGTTGCGTTGCTATATATTCCAACAATCCCATGCTGCATTGATCGATTTCGTACTGAAGAAAATTATTTTTAAAAGGGAGCCAACAAATTACTTTTGATCAATATTTCTTACGTACAATTATAACACAAATATGCTTTATCATGTTATATGTTTTAACAAAATGGGCGTAGCTCGCTCTTCACTGATATTTGTATTATCTATAAAAGCTAAAAATGTTTTTTTTTAAATTGCTTTCTTTACATCAATTACTTGTACAAAGTTGTTACTGTTATTCAATTTTTAAAGAAAACATAATATTATACGAGTATACATTATTACATTGCCATTTATCATTGACAACATTACATATGTCGTTTTATTGCAGGTAATCTTGACGCAGAAGACATGCTGATAGTTGTAAACAAGAAAGAGACTTACACAAGGCGGGAATCTTTTAAAAATGAAGGTCCTATGTTTAATGAAACGTTAAAGACTTTGCAAGATTTTTATAGACCATTTAATAAGATAATGTCAGACGCTACCGGTGATTCTGACTTCCTGTATGGTTATGGTGACGGTACCAGCTGATTTCTGCCGGTCTGGTTCCTACTCCTAGCCTACATGACTGAAAATTAGTGACATTGGGGAAGAACACCCAGGCATTTTGTCTGCGTAATAACTCCTAATTTATAGTCGTGCAATAATTTAATGTATACATTAGTTAAACTTTATGAATGATTTCGTATGTGTGAAAGTTAGTTATCGTGATCATAACTGTATTTGTTTTTATTTATTATTAAAGTCCCGTACAATATAATACAGCATGTATAAAATGTATAATGTCTGTATAGTCTTTGATTGAGAGAAAAAAATATTTTATAGTTTTCCTGTTAAGTTTTAGACTTAATATGTAACACGGATATATTATGGATGTGAATCTACTAACATTGTCACAGGTTGTCATACCTTTATATCATGCACTTTATTTCAAATAACACTATATTTCAAATCTTCGAGTGATAACTTGAAACGTTTTATTCCTTATTGTTTTCAATAAAAACAGCAGTATCAAAATTGTGGATGTTAATATTTTGTGATATTTAGCATGTTCATTATTATAAAGATTTTTAACTGAACCTGAATACCAGCTGTGGTTGTCAACCGCCGATGTGGCATATTCTAGAGTTTGCGTTTTAAGACTTATTTATATTCAGTGATGTAAATTAAACGTGGGTATGATCAATTTCGAAACAAAGTTGTTTAGGTGTGAGAGTTGGGGTTGGCATACCTCGCAACCACACAGTACATGTATGAGTCAAAAGGCGACTTTCCAGCTTTACTGATAGAGGAATACCTCGATCAGGTGTCTTTCCTTGCATTATTTAAGGCACGAACGGGCACCTGAACGAATCATCGACGTTCCGTAAGATAGGTACATAGGAAATAATGCATGAGTATTTTATTCTCATGTGCCTGATTAAAGTCTTGTTTGATCTGACCTGAGCACAAAGTGTACAATGTGAGCTTTTGTTATGAGTAGTGCAAGTCATTATACACAATATCTTTAAGTAATCTGCTTCTACACCACATCAAGGATTTTGATTCTTAGATGGTCCTCAGTACCAGTCTAACACAAAAGGCGATAAAATAGACTTCAAAAATCTTTTTTTTTAAATATCTGTCCCGAAGTAACTTTAATATCATTAGCTTAGATCTTTTGCATGTGGCATCTTGCAAGTGGCATCATCTTTGGTCATCAACAACTTTTTTTTGCAGTTTATATAGAGGTATGAAGGAAACCGCTCATAATTATTATCCTTTTGAGACCAATTTTCTTTTCTTTTGACTCCAACTTTACTTGTCATCCAATGAAAACGCTGTATTTTTTATAAAGACTTTGCGTTAATTTCCATAGAAGAACAAAGTCGATACTATATCGAAATTCGCTCATAGTCGCCCGCTATTTCATAGTACTTCATAGAACCGCATAGTGACACTAAGTATGTTAGTATTCATCCGTAGCTGTTCTACAGAAATTAGAAACATTCTCCTGTCGCTATCGCTCCCGTCGAAGTTTCTAATTTCTATAGAACAGCACGGATGAACACTAACATATACATAGAAACGTGGGGTTTTCCCGCCAAGAATTCTATGCAGATAATATCGACAATAGTAATCTCAAACGTGTTTGGTTTAAATTTGATGTTATTTTACATAAATCATACAGGATGCCCTCTACCAAAAATAATGTTAACACTTCTACCCCGGAAAAATAATAAATAATGACTGACCAAGAACGTGGAATCTGCCAGCTCGTTCAACCAAGCCCAACAAGTCATCAATATTTAAAGGTATTTTCAGTTTGTGTTATACTACGTGAGTATTATGACATCAGAAATGTTTCTGATAAACCATAATTATTCTTTGTTAAGATGTTGAATGTTGACGCAAACCGACGATAGTGGCTACGACGACAACAAGCATTAACATAATAATCGCAAAACATCGAACTTATGTCCCTCTTCTTAACTTTCCTATAGACATGCTCAATCAAACCAAACCGTGTTTCCGAGCCCAACATATTCAATTTGTTAAAAAGTTTCAGTTTAATCATATTTTATTGCTAATATCTACATGGAAATATACAGCCGAAATAACAAATACCAAAAGGGCTGCATGGGCCCCAAGTTCTTACAACATTAGCGATCGGCCAAGCTTTGCGACCTTAAAAATAACTTTTCACTATCCTTGCGATTCTACGTTATTTGCAAGTATCTATAACTTGCATTTATGACCTATTTCTGTTTTTTTATGGTGAATAAATTGATATAAATACTTGGTCAAATTTGGATGGAGGATTGATACTAAGTATGTTACAAAGTTTGGCTAGACCGGGGTTTAAACCAGGAATATATATAGTAAGCTTATTCCGGATATGTTGTATATTACGTAATAAAATTTAGATGTATATTTCTGGAGATTGTCCAAAAATATCAAACGATATCAAATGCACATTTTCATTTTCCGTATTATCACAATAAGAATCCTTTTTCATTGCAATGCACTGAAACATGTTTTCCATATTTTCACTGGTGGCTTGTCAGACTACTTTCTTCTAAATTCAGCCAAAACACACACGAAAAAACTTTCTATAAAACGGGTGATTTTGATTTTAATACATATAATTAATTTTCCATAATTGAACGGAGATGTACCCCTTCGCAGCTCAGTGAATACATTCACGGTAAGAAAGTGAATTTTTGCATATCAGACGGGATCATCTACCGTTTACGCCGATACTAGAAAAACTGGTCTTACACTCACCATGCAAATAGAGTGAATTAAAATTCCTTAAGAATGCTCAACGCGGCAAAATTGAAAATGTTGCAGGCTCGGTTTGACTGAGCCTGTTCATGGACGGTACTGCCAAGTGCAAACTACCGTTAACGCCCCCTAGCACCGGCTTAAGCAGAATTCAACATTTAACATGAACTGGTAAAATTTAGAATTTTGAAACATCCACAGATGTGTCCATATGGCGGTTATCATGGAACGTTCAATGTGACACGTTAGTGCCATTCCATGAAAAGCGGCATATGGTCCCCGGGTAAAAAAAGATGCGTGTGCCCTAGACGAGAAAACAATAAGCGGAACTAAATAAAATGGAATTTTGAAAGGGTATCTGAGGTTATGAAGCCTGCATATCACATATATAACGTCAAAAGACAAATTTAAAAAGCAAGCCTCATATCCTTAGGGTGATTCAAACAGTATTCAAGTGAGGAATACTGGAACCACCCAACAAGAAGAAGCCAAATAGAAAGAACTAAAATACCACAAGCACAACAAAAATGTCGTGCGGATCGGAAATATAACATCCCTGATTGAATGTACGGGGCGATTTTTTACAGCCTCCACACGGCACAAACGACGCTGATGTTGCGATAAAATAGAGTAAAATAAGAATCCCTAAAGAAAGCCCAACGCGACAAAATTGAAAATGTTGCAGGCTCGGTTTGACTGAGCCTGTTCATGGACGGTACTGTGTAAACTACCGTCCACGCCCCCTAGCACCGGCTTAAGCAGAATTCAACATTTAACATGAACTGGTAAAATTTAGAATTTTGAAACATCCGCAGCTGTGTTCATATGGCGGTTATCATGGAACGTTCAATGTGACACGTTAGTGCCATTCCATGAAAAGCGCGTGTCGATGTATTGCACATGACCATAAGACAAGTCGCGTGTTTGAAATGACGTCATTCCCTCGCGCCTTAATTTAGGTCTTAGAATGGCGCCAATACGCTTCTATACGAAAAAGTGCTAAATGAAAATATTAGTTTCGAAATATGATTTATATATAATAAAAATTCTTATATTACCCGCAATCTTTTACAGCAGGACTGTCTTCTTTATTTTTTTGATATCGAAATTTGGAATTCATATCTAAATTCATGAAAATCTTGAAAACCTCTTTGCGGCTTGGTATATGTAAGCAATTCTACTTTTATAGAAATGTGGTTTATAAATTGTGAAAGAGTAATGGTCATGGTACTTTTCTTAAGGAAAAGAATATCAAACGTTTCGTTGAGAGACTTACTTACTTGCTGCCCTCTGGCGTGTGGGGTAGTCTGGTTCCCTGCCTACATTTACTGCGGAAAGTAGTATAGCGTAGTATAAGGGGAAGGAACTCCAGACTAGCGTTTGGGGCTGCAACGAAGTTCTTCAACCTTTGTCAGTTTTTCGCCAGTTTTTGAAGACTTCCCCAGGATTAGATTGCATTTTTCATCTCTGCTTCCACAGTGCGCCGCCATGTGATCTTCGGTTAAGATCGGTCTTCCTCTTCGTCTTTTACCTTCAGGTGTCCAGTGTAAGGCTGTTTAAGTTATATTGGGTGGCTCTTTTCGTAGGACATGGTCAATACATCTCCAACGCCTGTCCTCAGTTGTATTCATATCTTCTGCCTGGCATTTTCTAAGAAGTTCATCGTTTGAGATCTTGTTAGGCCAAAAGATTTTCATGAGAGAGGTTATGACTAAACTATATTGAAACATAATGCAAATATATATTTGGGCACTACGCTTTCCTCTTATGATTATGTTCACCTAACTGAGTCTATTGGTTTTCCCTTTTCTATGTATTTATATAAGCATTTCTTTGTTTTATCAATTTAACCTCTTGTAACCATAGCAACTGTGAGAATTTCGCTTGGCGGGAACAGTTTTGTTTTCTTACACTGCCTCTACTCACAGGAACATATTAAGGCTAAAATTATGGTTTGGTGCGCCATTTTAACCGGTTTAAACACCCTTTTAGTGGTTTTGCTACTGGCCGTCTCAAGGTTGCGCACCTTTCTGTCAATGTTTTATTCAAAACTACCCTATGATCATGGGTTAATTATCATGAATACAAAATATATTTAAATCTAGATTTAAATTAATAACACAAAAAATTATACAAAAAAGCTTATAAACACATATATAATCAGGGAGGTATGTAAAACATTAAAAAAAAAGAAAAAGAAAAAAAATACAATTATTATTCTGGGACTAAAAATATGTATTTTCTGTCGCAGAACTATTCAACCACTTCAAATACCAGCACCAGTCTTTCAAACCCTGAATAAGTTGGTGGATCACAAGGGACAAAACAGGTTGCCAAAGTAAAATTCCAGAGTTAGATTCAAACAGTAACTAAAATACAATGTATAGTATGAAACAATATATTAGTTCAATACCAAAGCCCCGAATCACGTTGTCTAAACCTAAACGGCCACACATGTTTATCAGATAAATACCTCTAGTTTGAAAATAAATATTTTTATGAATAATTCTATATTAATTCTAAAACTTTCTTTATAATGTAACGTAAGGACCAAGCGGCTAAATATTTTGCACTCCGTTGCCCCATTGCGTCCGTTGCGCAAAAATATCACCGTTGCGTATTTTAGTCACACTAACCGGAAACCCCGGCATATTCGGATTTGTTTAGGTTTCATCGCTCGAGGCGTGGTGTCTTGGAAACTTTATCCAAGTTCGGGCAGGTAAAGAAATAGCTTTCAAGTACTTAAACCTTATGCAGTTTTAAATTAATTTCATTTCCGATGATGTGGTACCTGTGTAACATATTAACGATAGCAGTACATAATTTTCAGTAGAATTTGATAAATTGCTAAAGCTAGAGGACATTGAGTTTGATTTCGAGTCATTTCGGCCCCAAGACGTATCCCGAAACAACCAATTTTCAATCACAACCTAAATTCAAACACATTCTTTATTCTGTGGCACTGATGTCATGCCTGACTAAATTGCATAAAGTCACATGTTGTATTAACTTTAAAACTTGCAGAAATGCCACACTTGATTAATTGTCAGATGTTTTCAGCACTGTTCAGAAAAACAATAAGAAACTGTTTGTTTTAAGTGACACAATATAAATTGTCCAATTTTCACTATATCAAAATAGTCACTTGTTTAAAATAGTGGTAAAAATTTTTCTAAGCAAGTTAATTTTTTTTATAAAGTATTGGCTAAAGAGTTTTACCATTTATCTCAGTCCTAGGTGTATTTAAAACATTTATTTATATGATGTACCACTAAATATTCATCAGACTTTACATGGGGGTCCTTATTTATAAAATCTTATATTGTTATCAAATTTTTTCATGTGATGATTGTAGAATAATTGTTTTGTAAGCGATACCAGCTAGCAGATCTAGACAAATTTCCATATTTGCTAATATTATAAAGTGGGAAAGGTAAAATGGCTGTAAAGATTGGATGCATTTATCATTTTGCACCCCAAATAGCGTACTTAGAAGTGACACCTTTAACTGCCTTTTTATACACATTAACAGTAGTCATACCAAGGCATTGTGCTGTACATATGTTATAACATTAAGTGTAAGTTTTTTAAAAATCTTGATAAACTGTTGAAAATCGTTGAATAGACTATTGTGAAATTTTCTACAATTTTTAGTGGACCTGATTTATCTTTAACAAATTTTCCATGGTGATTACCCTGCTGTTTGAATTTAGGTTAAAATATTCCTGGGAGTAACCTGAGTGGGTCATATTGTTTTTATTGAATTTTTAAGAAAGATCAAGACTTGTTAAAAATGTACCAACCTGAAAATGAATAAGTGTTAATAGATGCATTAATAGCTAAAATGAATTTAAAGTATAATTTCCCTTTCCATTTATTCTTGGCTAAAAACAGCTTAACTGATTGAATATTGGTTGTCCCGGGATATCGGCCCCAAATTACCCCAAGACGTTTCGGCCCCGGACGTTTCAGCCCTTCACCAAATCGGCCCCATATTTAGTAAAGAATAAGTCTTACCTTAACGTGTTTTATACCAGAATTTTAATAGCATATAAATAAATGAAAGGATAAAAGGAATGAGAGAATTAATTGAATAATTAAATTATGATTTTTAATTGAATGAGGCTAAAATAGTATCCTCGAGTGACCAGTTTCGACGCCCTTAAGGATTGTTTTGTTTGCGTCTATTAAAACCATGTGATTGTATTGTATAAAATGTTTTCACATTTTAAAAAAATCTCTAACCTTTATGAAATGGGTAAATTAAGCTGTTTTCCAGCTATTCCTTTTCATGAACAATCCTACTTTCACTTCATCTGGGAGCGGCCTTTTTTATTGAGAGTGCCCTAAAACAACGCCATTGATTGGCTAATTTTATTACACACTACAGGAGACTGTACACCATAATACTTTTACTTACGTTGTTCACCAAATCAAGAGCATAGACCTGCAAAGTTGAAAGTATCAACAAGTGAACAATAGTTTATCTATTCTTTATTTCTTTCATAAATAAAGCATTATTATATGTGGTAAATGCTATTGTTGTATTTTTACAGTGGTTTGGACGGTAGCCCTAGTCTGTTTGACCTCCTCTGCTGAAAATTATAGGTTGGAAAATAGCACCTTTACTTTCTTTGTTGAACCTGCAAAAACAAAATAATACATTTAGTGGAGCAACTTATAAAAATATTGCAATTCATTCCATCCAAATAAGATAAATATATATCCAATTAATTTTCAATTAACATTCAATCATTGATTTATAACCGTAAAAAAATCTGCAACACGTACAGGTTGCATTTAGGGTGAAAAAATGCGCAAAAAACAACACTTTTGGGTAATTTTTACTGCCACGTGACCTGAGAATAAGGAAATGAGGTCAGCAGACAGGGAGGTATTTTCCAGCCGATTTTTTCAAGGAAAACATGACATAGTAAAGTGAGGATCAAAATTGCATTAGTGAAATCATACAAAAATCTCTTAAATAAGGTATAACATGCTAAATCTTACCTTTGAGGGTCTTACTTACTACATATTGTTACCTAACCATCTAGAGGAATTCCATTTTGCTATAGCGTAGTACAGTAGTGACGTAAACGGCCGCTTATATCAATTTTGAGGCAAAATATAAATGGCGTCGAAATAGGGCAGAGTAAACAGGTCACTCAACGATAGTAATCAAAACAAACAGAACATAAACTTTATTAAACAAAACATAGTACACGAACACTGAAACATATTTTATCTGATCATTATCAACAAGTTTTTTTTTACAAATTTGAACGATTAAAAAGCAAGACACAGAACAATACAAACATTTATTATCAACAACTATTAAATAAATGGTACAATACAACACATAACAGTTAAAAAATTATAAGATAAAACAAACAATACTTTGTAAACAGACATTTTTTACCATAAAAGTGATAGATTTTCAATCAAAGCATATATTATCAAGAAATTATATCAAATCATAAGTTAAAAAATCTTTGATATTACTAACGGCTGATTAGCAATACGCTTTAAATAATTAATTTGTTAAACCTTGAGAAAAACATAAATCTTAAGTGTTAGCTAAATGATTAAGAGATCAAAAGATAATGATTTTTGAAGTATATTTGTAATTAATTTTGTTAATCAAAAAGTTTTTGCATTGTCAACTGTCTTATAAATTAAAGATTAATTGTCTTTAATTAGGTGTATTTATTGTTGCACCTTGAAAAAAAGGCTTTTATCTAAATAGCGATTGATAGATCTACAATGGATTATCAATTAAGGATTAAAATGTCATAATTGTTTGTGTGCCATCAATCAATCAATATACTACAATTTTTAACGATTTTAAGTATAAAAATTCCTTTTATACTGTAATAAAACTGTAATAAAAAAATGGGCCGAAACGTCTCGCAGAAAAGGGTCGGAACGTCTAGGGGCCGATTTTTGCACAGGGGCCGATTTGGTTTGGGGCTGAAACGTCCTGTTTGCTTGAGTTTGACCCGGGGATGGATTGTTCCCATGTTCCTAGACCTAGTTAATTAAGCCAAGTAGCTTGGGCTGTTCAGAGTGGCGGTGCAGAGCTATCATGACCATTTTGTACTGGGGCTGTCAAAATCAGGAACCCTCTTGCAGAATTGCACTCTCAACTGAACAGATTTACATTGAACTGTTAAATAGTGTGTGTTGTCAACAAATCAGTCTTAGAGACAGCAGCAGACATGCAGTTTAAATTGCATTAAGACTGTCATGTGTATTATCCTTAATTGCCTTACAAACATCTGACTCGTACAAAGCAAGTCAACCCGCATCTTTTGCTGTATTTCTTTGTTTGACCAAATATGTATGAATTTCACTAATGTATATTTATATGGAAGGTCAAAGATCAGGTTTTTAAGTTTGTGTGAACCATATCCTAGCGATCTGAGATGGAACAATTCATATTATATAAGGATTTAACCATTTCATCTTTACTTTTATACATGACTGTCAAAGTTTAAGTCATTCATTTAGGACAGAAGCACCAGGTTCAATGTGTCATGTATACAGCAGTGGTCAAAATCAGCACTAGTCTGACAGTAAAAGACACGGCTCTTATTTCATTTGCCAGTCAGCTGTTAATTGTCCTTGTGAGTTACTTTCAGAGAGATTGTGCTAAACTGAACAATATGTGAGCTAGTCTAAATTATTAAAAAGGTGTTATGAAATATTCAGATTGTAAGCAGGGGCACCACAGCTTGTATAAACATATATAATTTACTTGATGTTATAATTTTTCTAAAAATTCATGTGTTAATGATATAAAATTATATTTGCAGGAAATATTTCAAGATGGCGGACATGTATACTAGAGCTGTGAAATTCTGGGATGAAATTTGGGCAAAGAAAGGTATGATTTATATTATAATATGAAAACCAATTTTGTTTTTTAATAATATCATTGTAAGACTACCAAAACATATGTTATCGAATAATGTTTTATATAAACGAACTACAGTTAGTTTCAATAACATTTTATTATTTTGAATATCTTGATATTTATGACTAATTTCATTTGTTTTGTTGATATCAAATAAAATCTTGTTACAAATGTAACCCTATTGATATAGCTGAAATAAACATGAATTATTTTTCTGTTTATTTATTATAGATCCTCGTGTGGATGATTGGTTTATGATGTCATCACCAATATCAAGTATTGTGATATGTATTGCATACGTTATCTTTGTGAAATTGGGGCCAACCATTATGAAAGATCGAAAACCAGTGGAGATGAGAAAAGTCCTTCTTGTGTTTAATTTGCTCATGGTTTGTCTGTCAACTTACTGTTTTATGGAGGTTTGTATTTTGCCTTTTTTGGTAGTTGTTAATTTCACCAACATTTTGTAGTATACATGTTCATATTTATACCTTGGGTGGTCCATTACCTTTTGTTTGTTCACTGAGGTCAAGGTCACTGCACCTCACTGAGGTCAAGGTCACTGCTAGGTGCTAATAATAGATTTTAACACTTGCTCATACAGCCTGTATTAATTGACTGATGTCTTATAGATATTGTAAGATCATACCTTGAGTGGTCCTCTTACTTCCATGGGATTTGTTGAGGTCAAGGTCATTTATGCTAAAACTAGCTTTATACATGTTTGTGCATATTTTGGATTGTAGTATATGAACAAAAGTGCTGTTTTGCCGAGCAACGATTGCTTGAAGCGGTGTGTATTGTATTAAGTATTGTAAAATGTTAAATAATTTAGCTCAGACAAAAACATTTTGGTAATTTAAAGCAGCATGCCTCCAGATTCATGCTAATTTTCATGAAAATTTGGAAAATGTATTCAAAAGTAAAATATTGTGAAGTGAACAAAGAAATTAATTTACACGTTGCAACCTGCACTACAATCCACGTATATTACCAAAAAGAGGTCAAAATATACATAAATACCTCTTACTGTGTTAGTTACGCAGTAGAATTATAGTGATTGATACTGCAAAATCAGTCATTAAACACACATAACATGTTAATTATTAATTAGATATTGAATCTTTTTACTTTTCTTAAGATTTTAATACATTTTTCTAAAGATTGAATTTCTTGATATATTTTGGCTCATCTGGAGGTGTGCAGCTTTCAAAAAAAAATGCAGCTTTCAAAAAAAATATAATATGCTATGTAGGTTATTCATTATCAGCTAGTGATGTTTTACAAATTTAAGAAAAAATTTGTTATGTTTTCAGTTTGGTATGGCAGGCTGGTTTACAGGGTATACTTTTGGTTGTGAGGAGGTTGATTACTCTACCTCACCTCGGGCAATGCGAGTAAGTTTTCTGTATTTAAACCTAATTATTTTAATCACTAAGCATGAAATTGTGTAGAATATTTTAACAAACCATCTTTTGCCAAAAATTGACTTACTCAGAAATATATATTATCATTATCAACAATTAATAATTGTTTGTTAAACATTTTACGCACTACAATAATAAGTCTATTATAAAATCATTTATAGTATGTTATGTTACTTAAATGAAAATAGCAAGATGCCAAGGAGTTTGAACATAAATTTGAAGATTCATCCAACCTAAAATGAAAGTTTTCATAAATTAAATTGATTTGCTTGAAATGTTCAGGTCATAGGGACTGTAATTATTGATTGGATTGAAAGTGTATAAAATCAAATTTCCCTCAGCTCAGAGGAGAGCTCATGGCTGTGTGGTTAAGGTAGTTGACTTCAAACCTATAGCTCCTTACCACTAAGGAGTCCTGCCAGGGAATTGGATTCTTTCACATAAGGAAACTATCACGGTAGCTTATGGAAAGCCTATGGTTCTATTCATAAGTGCCTGTTTGTGCCTGAAATAATGTACAGAGGGACACCTGAGGTCTTCCTCCATCAGTAAAGTTGGAAAGTTGCCATTTGACCTTAACAGTGTTTATGTGCCTGAAGCCCAACCAAAAAAGTGAAAAATCAATACTGTGTCATGTATATTACTAACCTGATTGTTCTCTTTATATTGCAGATGCTGAATGTGTGTTGGTGGTTTTATTTCTCCAAATTTATTGAACTTTTTGATACAGTAAGTAGAATATAACCTATATGTATGTACAGTCAGACTTGTATTGTGAGACCCCTCAAGTGTCAGACCATATATAGTATCTTTTCAATTACTTAGAATATTTTATGTTGCGTTGTTAACTACAATTGTCATGAATTATGTACAAGTAATCAATATTTACTAAAGCCTTTTAGATTGATTTTAAATTAACATATTACAAATTGGTGCTAAAAATTTAGTGTAATACAAAATTTTAAAGATCCTGTCTGTTTTGTAATTAATATTGTACCTGTGTGTATACCACTTTTAAAGAAATGTATATTATTATGCAAATAAAACAAGTTTCAAACATCGAAGAATATGTAAAATATGTACTGCAAATATTTGTGCACATTATAAGTAATCAATTGATTATATGCATTCATTTCTTATTGGAAAATTAGACTTTGAATTTATAGAAAATAAATTTCTAATTACCTCCCTTTATTTACATGAAATAGTAAATTCGGTAATATCTTTACAAATAATGCTTATTGGAACTTACAATATTGACAAATCTTACTTTGAGCATCATATGTTTGAATTAAAACCATAAAAAAAATTGTGTTACAGGATCTTTAATATTTTTTTCATGTATTGATAATAACAAAACATTAATGCATATTCTGAGTATTGATTAAAAAAAAATCAGAGATAGATTTTCAGAGAAGTATTGTTATGTTTATTGTTTTTGTATTTCAGATATTTTTTGTGCTCCGTAAGAAGTTTAACCAGTGTTCTTTCTTACATGTCTTCCATCATGCAATTATGCCAGCATCGTGGTGGTTTGGAGTACGTTTTGTAGGAGGTAAATAATTTTCTTATATCTGACATTATATGGAGAATTTTTTGCCCTGTCCTTCTGATCTGTCAGGCTTTCTGTTTAGTATTAGTAGGTTAGAATTGCCTTTATTTAACAAGGCTTACACATTCAGCCTTCTGATTCCATATGAGCCTCAGCTGATGTACACAAGATACCAGTAATTACAACATATAAACAGTTATCACATACGCAACATATACACAACATCGCAACATATACACAACATATATACACATATGTCATATTGAAAAAAAGATCAGTTAAATTGAAATAATGAGTTTACAAGCAAGAACCAAAGTATTGATAATAGAACCCTTATTTTGTTCCTTAGATTGACTTTTGATTTTTTAGGACAGAATGTCAGAGGTCTAGGTCAGGGTACCCTTACATAAAAGAAAAATACATTACGCCATATAAAAAATACCTGTTCAATACCATGATTGACATTTGACCCAGAGCCAATAGAATTTATTACGATGAGAAGAAAATTTTGTTTAAGGATCAATAGTTCAAAGGTCAAGGACTAGATGATCTTTGTTGAAAGCAATTTCCACTTTGATACCATAAATGTCTCAGAGACATCATGCTGAATAGAATGATTATTTTTTTTATGGAATTAAAGGCACCTTTAGTTTATTTGATCAGGGGTCCTGAATTATGCTGTCTAAACAGGCATAAACTTACCAGTCTTGACAAACGATTTTAAAAGCCTGGCTGATTGGCTTGGGCAAAAGTTCAAGTAGGTTAAGAGTCAATTCCTATATGGCTGTTTTGATATTAGTATTAGTATAGTTTTGTAAAGATTCTTGTTTTATTTCAATGAATATTCATTATTGCTTATTACATAGCTGCTACCAATACCTGTAACACTACAAAAAGGCTATACTATTTTATCTGTTTATCTAATCAGTTTCTTATGAATTTGTGAAGTTGCATTCTTTACTGAACATGTATGTTTGGTAATTCAAAATTCGATGATTTCAGGTGAATTTGGAACATTTCATTCTTTACTGAACTGGTATGTTTCATTATTAGAAATTTTATGTTTTTAGGTTGATTTGGAACATTTCATTCTTTACTGAACAGTTAAATTTGGTTATAATGAATTTTGGTGATTTCAGGTGGATTTTGAACATTTTATTCTTTACTGATCTGGCATATTTGGTTATTGTGAATTTTGGTAATTTCAGTTTAATTTGGAACATTTCATCCTTTATTGAACTGGTATAATTGGTTATAGTGAATTTTGGTGATTTCAGGTGGATTTGGAACATTTCATTCCCTTCTGAACTCATTTATACACCTTATGATGTACACTTACTACTTCCTGGCAGCTCTGGGACCAAAGTATCAGAAATACCTCTGGTGGAAAAAGTACATGACAAAAATGCAAATAGTAAGTGTTTTTAATTATATTTCTACACACAAGTAAAATTCCAGACTTTGTTCGAAGCATTATCTTTTACATGTATGAATAGATTTAATATAACTTGATATAAATGTTCAACACCATGAGACGTAGTGTTGGTGCCAATGAACTATGACCAAAGAAATATCCAGAGCATTTTTCTTACAGGCATGGAGAGATTTTAGATTTTCATTTTACATGGCACAAATAAAAATTTGAGTATTGATGATTGAGTTATCATAAATTGTTGGATTTTAATGTAAATGTTTACTATTAACTAATAATATTACTAGTAATAAACTGAGCATTTGTGACAAAACTATATTGGCATGGCACTTTTGTTTTTGATTTTTAGTTATAACCTAAATTTAATTTTCAATAAAAATTGTTTATCATTTCACAGATACAGTTTCTCCTGGTAACAATTCACTCAGTACAACTACTGTATATGAAGGACTGTAATTACCCGAGATTGTTTGCCTACTGGATATTGGCGTACGCTGTTATATTCCTGGTGATGTTCGCAAACTTTTACGTTCAAGCTTATAGAAAGCAACCAGCTGCAGGAAAGGGCAAAGATAATCAGGGTAATGGAAGTGTTACAGCCAACGGGGAGACCTCTTCTAGAAAACATGGAGCTAAGCATCACAAGAAGCATTGATGATTGAGAGCCCTAGTATTTTATTTTTTCCCTATTGTACAGAGTGAAAAATATCCAATATATTTCACTAGAACAAGAATATCAGATAAATAGGTCAGAGCTTTTCTAAATCTGGAAAAATATTGTTTCAGTTGATTCTGCTTTTGGTTTTCACAGTGGAAAGAAAATTATACAATTAATTTATAACAGAATTTCCCTTACAAACTTACTAATATAAGAAAAAATTAGAAGAAATATTTCATGTATAGTATATATATTTGCAATAACGATTGCCTTAATATAGTTTTTCAATTCAATGCATTTCTGTGCCTGTATTTTATAAGAATTTTCTAAATATTTTTGTATTTAATTAGCTCCCTTTTAAATCTTTTACACTAGTTAGTGAAGCAATTCTTTTGTATTGAAGTGTTATAAGTGTATCTTGTTTAGGATATTTGTTAAAATGAATAATCTGTTGGCTAAAAGTCTTTTGTATCAAGACATTGTTAGGGATAAAAAGCAATATTTTCCGTGTGTCATGTACTTCAAACCACTTTATTTTTGTTATTTGATTCTTTTTTCACCAAAATATGTAGCACATGATAATTGGGCTATCCAGCAAGCTTACACAGTGACTGTGTTTCTGACTCCCGGGCACGCCCCTTACACCTACCGGGCACGCCCCTTACACCTCCCGGGCACGCCCCTTACACCTCCCGGGCACGCCCCTTACACTGCATGGATCTGGAGATTTCCTATCACAAGTCACAAAGTACCATGTTGCTCATTGAGTGAAGGTTATATGAAACCAAATTATAGAACATGTAAACACTTATATTAAGGTGTGAGTGAAAAATTGAATATATTTCGGATAGTGGGTAAAATATTCTATTTAAGCAAAATATCCTTGCTTTATATATATTTTTATAGTTATTAACAAAAAATAGAGAGGAGATCAAAAATACATAGAGGATATTCAAGTTTTTTCTATAAATACATGATTTATTTTCATCGAGTGGTATGAAAATAAATATTTCATGAGTGGCGGTAGCCACGAGTGAAATATGGTAATTTTCATGCCACAAGATGAAAATAAATCATGTATTTATAGAAAAAACTTGAATTTTCTGTTTATTATGTACATTTTTCTCTTTTTTGCGATAAAATTTGAAAAACTTTCCCTTAAATTTTGTGTACTGGTAGAATTTAAAAGAAAGTAGTCCAGCAAGACACCAGTGAAAATACGGAAAATATGTTTCACTGCAGTGAAAAATAAATTTTTACAGTGAAAATACGGAAAATGAAAATACACATTTTATTTCATCAATATTTCTCAATATTTCATTTATAAGTATATAATAAATATATTTAGTGTCAGTATTTTGTTTTATTCTGCTTATATCAGAAGTTGAGATGCGAGCCTAAAAATGAACAAAATAGAATAAATATATCAGGGAGCTTTTAACCTTATTCCTTGAAGTGACATTATGCTCATTTTTTCACTGTCAAGCTGTGATACATTAGTTATATATTTCAAAAGATTGGCGATTAATCAATAATTTACTATTACACATGTTAAGGATAAAATATAAAAATCGCCTTACATGTAAAAAGTCTTTTTATAAGATGAACATTTCCGATAATTTCATAGGGATATTTATAGATACTTTCGTGGTTCACGAGCGTTTTTAATTCCTCTGGCGTGGGTTCCATTCCCATGGAGATGCTTTGGTAGTTTAGCACGAAGGAAGGTAGTCTAGTACTGGTGTAACTCTCCAGGAACGATGGTTAGGAAACTACCCGCCTATATGACTGAAATACTCTTGGGAAAAGGCGTAAAATGAAACAAACAAACAATTACTCTGGTGACGTTTGATATAAAATCGAAAACAAATATGACAAAATATAGTTATTTTAATTTTACCTGAACACTCACCATTTACTCTTGAATACCACATAATGCCACTTAAATCAACCTATAAATTTGGTATTCATATTAAATTAAGTCACGGTATTAAGTTAAATTTTGTTAAAACTTCAGTTTTGTTTAACTTATCAAATAAATTGTTTAACACTTTTCCTTATGACAATAAACATGTAGTAAGAATATTTGATACAAAAACATATGTTTGCTGTATGCTTCATTGTGTATTTTATACATGTATTTGTAATTCTTGCATATCATGTATTACTTTAATTTTTCCTTGAATTATTTTACATATCTTTTGCTAGGTTATTTTAATCTTTAATTATGAATAATCACATGTATTAGTATTTATCACAACAAATACGGGATAGGGCTGGTTATGTCTCTTTTAAAAGGGCATTTTTTTTAGTATCCTTACTTTATAAGTTTGACTTATTTAAGGTAATTTAAAGACCTGTGTGGTTTTAAGGGTTTACGAAAACTTTAATTATATATAATAAAAATAAATATGCTCTACACTGTATGTAATGGAAAGAAAGATATACGCATGTTGTTTTTTTTTTTTTTTTTTTTTAAACCTGCAAATCGACTCCTGGATTGTGAATATTTTCTGATTACTTTAACTATTGTTTATTGTTTTCCCTTTTTTTGGCAAAAAAAAAAAAAAAACACGCGCACAAACACCCCTGGAGACATTCAGAGTTAATACCTAGTCCCAACTTAAAAAAAGTATTTCGGTTTTTGCAGGTAGTTTTTTTTTATTGTAGAGACATGATGATTACATTTACTATGTCACTTTGCTTCATTCACTTTGTGATGTATTATTTTGTTGATTATATCACTTTCACCTACCTGTTGTTGTTTCTACTGTTTAACATGTTTTAAAACCTGCCACCTGTTTATTGGCATTGCACATTTATTTTGGAAACAGAATTAACCCAAGTTTCTGCTGGACAGATAGTTAAGATTTTTTTTTATATTCATAATTTTTGTCAGCAAAATAAGTAGGCCAGATAGTTTTTTGTGTTGAAACTTTCAACACTTTCTCAGCAAGATGTGAGGTTGAATTGATGGTTATGCAATTTTTGTCGTCAAGTAAAGTTTTAGGTCAGACTGCTAATATTATTGGTTATTGTTAATTTTTGCCAGCAAAATATCTACATCTATATGTTTACAATCCAAGAATCGATTTTCGATGTTTGGATCGCGCCAATAGTTGTAAAACACTTTACTGAAAGTGAAGGTCACAGGAGAAGGTGAGAGGTAAAAGATCTGAACAAAGAATCTGAAATAGATGAGTTTTGAATTTATATACATTTTGGCTTGGACAAATGATTATAAAATTTTTGTCAGCCAAATATGAGGTCAGACTGACAATTATGAAATTTAAAAGAAAAAATAGCTAATCATAAGGGTTATGAAATTTTTTTAGATATTTTACAAATTCAAGGTCTATATAGGATTTTATTTATAATTTGCTTATAGTTTGAAATGTATACCCAATTTTGTAAATACATTGATTCTTTTTTAGTCTGTCTCGAAGAAAAAATTTGCTATTCATATGACTGCTGTCATAATTGTTTTCGTCCTGCAAAAACATTTAATGTATTCCATTTCTCAAACAGTTTCAATTGTATCAGTATAAACATGGAATGCTTGCTAATCATGAAAAGGTACATTTGTTAGACAAGGGGCATAATTCTGAAAGTTATATTTTGGAGTTATGCCTCTTTTTTTTGTTAAAAGTGGTAAGTTGAACAGACAAGCGTTAACACTGCATTCAGTGGTCTTTTGAATTATATTCTGTGTTATCATTAATATTGTATAACTATCACAATGTTTATATTCTTTCCTTTGTTTCTTACTGAGTTTGTAAAGTGGGTTAATATTACTTTAGATTTGAAATTTTCATGGTTATTTTGAAGGGTTTTATAGGTATAAAGTATGGACTGAAAAAAAAAAAAATCAGGCCATACTGCATATCAATCTAAGGCATAAATTGCTTTCACACCAAAGAATAGTTTATTTGTTCACTTATCATTTGAGTTTTCTGTTTGTTGTGAACTTACACATAGCTCCTATGAACTTACAAAAATTTCCCATATTTAATTTTCTCTGTTAATTTTTTTTGTTGCATAATATTATCCATATTATATCAATTATTGAATTTTTTCTTTGAGAGGTCACATGTATTAAATTTGTCTACTTTTTATAAATAAATTATATATTTACATAAAACATGCTTTATATTATGGATTTTAGCTTTAGTTATTTTAGTTGGTGGAAAAAAAACTACAGAAACTCATATTTTCATTATTTTGTGCATGCATCTTTTACTATACATTTGTCTGAACTGCAGTTGTTTTATATATAAAAAAAGTATGAAAATTTTGCACCAGTTTGTCAGGATGTTTAATTCTTGTTGTGTTCAAAGTTCAATCGTGTATTGAAACTAAGTAACGGTACTGTGCAATTAATAGATAATCAGTTTTTAATAATTAATGTTGAAGGGCAAAAAAACGTCAGTCAAACATTGGTGGTTAAGATGTTTGTATCAGTATAATATGAGCTGCGTCACGACAAAACCAACATAGTGCGTTTGCGAACAGCATGGATCCAGTCTGATCAGGATCCATGCTGTTCGCTTACACACCCTGTAGCAAGTAGAGAAACTGATAGCGGACAGCATGGATCCTGATCAGACTGTGCGGATGTGCAGGCTGGTCTGGATCCATGCTGGTCGCAAACGCACTATGTTTTGTCATGATGCGGCTCATATGCATGCATCATGTTTCTCTGTCACTTATGTTTTGTTCCTTTTTAGCTCACCTGAGCACATCAATCTTAAGGAAAGCTATATATTGTGATTGCTGCAAATCTGTTGTCAACATTTTACTTTGACATTGACGTAAAACAACAACAACAACATGATAGTTGCAAGAGCTAAAACTTAAGCATCAAATGACATCGCAACCTCTTTAAAGCTTTAATCAATATGATTTAATTCAACAGGAATTACCCCTTGGTCGCATTAACGAAAATTGCGTAAATTGTTACAGTTTGCTGAACAACATGGCTGTCTTTGTGCTAAATTAGATTCACATATTATCAATTTTAAATTGACATGCCCTTCCCAACTGCTTGGCAGATTTTGATAAAACATTAATTAAATGACTATATAATGAAATCTTGTCCATGTGAACAAAAATTTTAGGTGAGCATATAATTGCCATCATGGCCCTCCTTATGTCACAGGGTGAGAATAAAGTGAGGCAATCCTGGGAGTTGAACCCAGAATCATTAAAATACCTACCGGCAGCTCTACCAGCTGAGCTACCTTGCTGCTTACACATCTCCTCAATCATTGAACAGTTCTTTACTATGACATGTTTCCCCGGTTTCTTGAAAATTGTTCTAGAATTTCTTACTGGTTACAGAGAACAATTTGCATTGGAAGCTTTATACATTCATAACCTCATTATGAGTGCCAAATGTCACAGGATGATTAAATATGCAGTCTGATCATGTGTATGCTTATAATAACCTTTCAGTATTGGTTTGTATCAAGCCTTTGAGTGATGACAGTGATAATAACAAGGATAAGACAATGGTATATAGCCAGTACAACCATATAAGCACATTCCTATAAGTATAGTACCTGGTCAACCAGTACAACCATATAAGCACATCCCTACAAGCATAGTACCAGGTCAGGTCAACTAGTACAGCCATATAAGCATATCCCTAAAAGTATAGTACCAGTACAACCATATAAGTACATCTGTGTAAGTATAGTGCCAGGTCAACAACCAGTAAAACCATATAAACACATCCCCTTTAAGTATAGGTATCAGTACAACCATATAAACACATTCCCTATAAGTATAATACCAGGTCAACTTATACAACCCTATAAGCATACTCCTACCAGTACAGTACCAGATGAACCAGTGCAACCATAAAAGCACATTCCTACAAACAGAGTACCAGGTCATCCATTTCCACAGTATATGTAACTGTACTCGTGTTATCTGC